AATACATTGTAAATATTATTTTCTTGAATGTTTGCGAAGCAGACGACGTTTGATCATACGCTGGAAACTAGAACATTTTTTCCAAAAAAATGTGTTTTAACATTTGAAAGAGAAAAGTTTGAACGGGAAAAAATAAATTTGTTCTTTTATGAATTAATGAAAGTGATACAGAAAGGAAATATAGTAAATAATTGATAGTAAATTTATCAAAAACATCATCCTTAGAGAGTATGTTCTGGGCACGATCGTTTAGAAGCTTTGCAATACTTTAAACTCTTTCAAACGCGCATCAGCTCGAGATTAGGTCCTGTTTACAAAATGGCGACTGGAAGTAGCAAGGCGGATTAAATTGGAATTTAAATTGCGTATATTTCGTCAAGTAAACATTGTTCACAAAGCCCATGTGGTCTGTTCATCTAATTTAGTCAAGATGTACTCAGAACAGTCAATGTTTAGTCGCTAGGGTCATTCACAAAATAATTAGTATTATTATATAAACTTATTGTAATTATTTAACGTAGACCTGAAAGTATGTTGAAGAAAAAGATGGGGACCCCCCCCTTTTCACTCAAATCATGTAGAAGGGTAGCTTTTTCTACTATTTCCTTTTATATTTATATAACAAAATTGTGTGGTTTGGTTTGTCTGGCTATTCTAAAGGCAGGGCTAATAATTATAAGTGTACATGTGGTGTCTTAACATGTTTTACTGTGATGTTCCTTCTTTAATTTTAGTATATAATAATAGTGTAAACTTGTATATCTACACAAAATATTTTGTTGTAATTAAAAAATGTAGCAGATACAAACGTGAAAGTAATTTTGTAAATGTTTTTGCTAGATAAACTTATACCCCTCAGGCTTTTTGAACCGTAGTGACATCAGATTAAACAACTTGTGTGCTTTAAATAGATGTGCACAGAAACTGGTCACATAATATGGTATCATTCAACAATGATGACAGATTGTAAACAGAATTTCAATAAAAAATTAAGACTAGAAACAAACTTTGTTGATAAACAATGTAAAGCATGTTGCTGTTTAATTTTATTTATTCGGCAAGTTTCACAATAAGGGCTCAGAGTCTGGTCACCACATGCTTATGTATTTAAGGCAAAGGTATACACTTATATGATTCAGAAATAGTTAAACAATATTGCACGAAAAATATTACAATCTCTTTTTAATTTTATATGATCAGCTTTAACTTCAATAAAAATTACAAAAGCCTGTTCATGTACACATGTGCAATAAGTTCTCCAAATATTCTGTACTACTGATAAATACCATAGTTAAAATCAAGTGACTCAACTGAAAACAAATGGTGTTTGAGTTTTTTATGCAACTCCACAACGGAAGGGCTCAACCCTTTTATCTACATGTATGTGAACAAACGAGTGGAATTGTTTTTGAAATTTTAAATCCCATTATTACCATAGACATTGCTACACTGTTATGATTAAGGAAATAATAAGTGCGCAACCGGAAAAGTAAGTCGCGAGTGAACAAAATAACAATGATGCATCACCGCAAGCTTGAACCAGCTTTCAACGATGCCACATCAGCAATTCAGGTGTTAAAAGTATATTACCATACAGTTCAGCAGAGATTCCCTTGTAATAACATTGGTTGTACTGACGGCCCATGCATGCAGTGGTCTAATGATCTGGACTAGGTATACACAGTTCATTGATGTATATATAAACCACAAGTGTGCCGAGACCAATTTGCAACCAGGGCTTTCATTTGTCTCTCGGCAGTTAGTAATTTTCAGAAGTCAACGACCTTTTCCCCTTTAATTTGGAGAGTCAAAAAAAGATCAAATAAACATTTCCTTTTAAATCCAAGAAGGAAAGTTAATTTAAGGGAATCAAAAAGATAAATATATGCTTAGTATCAAAGTACACATACATATTAAAAAACCCATCTTTTACTGGTCATATAACTAGCTAGCCTTGTAAATTGAAGCAGTCTTTTACAAGGATATGTTTTGTCAGTCAAAAATGTAAAAGTGCATTGATAAATGAAATAGTTGATTGTGGAAAAGTTGAGTTAAAAATTCACACCCCAACATAAGTGTATAACAATGTTAATTAGCAAAGATCTTGATAAATTAATGATCTCTTATCAACTTGTAATATATAGTTTAGTCAGAAAAGGAAATTTACCTGTCTTCTACCAAATTCAGAATTATGTTGGTTTTCATCAAATAGACGAAATACATGTATTTATTTCAATTAATCACTTTACACGAACTATTCCATTATTCCAACAATACCAGATGTTTTCATGTTGGAATAATATAACCGTGTGACAGCATTTACATGTACAGTGTTTTCACTAAGTGTTGAAATAGGTGATCGAAACGAGTAGCCTCTTGAAACGAGTAGCCCCTTGAAACGAGTAGCCCTTTGAATGTTCACTTGCTATAATGTTCACTTGCTCATATTGTTGATCTCTAGATGTATTCTGAAAAAGAAGCCTGTTAAAAGTTGATAAATAGCAGGCTATTTTTGTCAGCAACATGCTTATAATAAGTAGAGCACTGATGTAACATCTGACACAATGTATGTATACTGCAGTTTTGGAGTTAGGTACCCATTCTAGTGCCTTAACCCGATGTATGTATACTGCAGTTTTGGAGTTAGGTACCCATTCTAGTGCCTTAACCCGATGTCATCCATGTCCATCCTCCCGTGTATGCAGGAATTCCTGCTATCCAGATATGGGACTTTAATTCAACTCATTTCCGTCATTTTCAGATGAGCAGGCAGCCAGTAGATTGGAAAAAAAGAAGGAAAGGCGACAGAAGCGCCCAACAAGAGGAGTGTACCAGCCACCTAGTATCTTAAGGCACAAACAACAGCTTGAACAGTCGGGGGGAGGGGACTGGAATGGAGACGCAGAAGGGGGAACACAAAGTGAATGTTGGGAGGGAGAGTTAGATGTAGAAAGTCATGGGTCAGCCACTAACAGCAGCAAGGAAAATAGTGTAGAAAAAGAGGTAAAGTATTCATCTTCGATAGGGCTGAAATGTTTGAAAAAATGGTATTTTATTTTGTTATAGGTTCAAATATTTTATTCAGTTAGAGTATTTTAAAATATGATACAAGATTATTTTTAGCACAGATCTTATGTACCTAGACACTGTAATTATTCTAATTTGGATCAGGGTTAATTTTGTGATCAAGAAATTGAATACATTTTTTGTAAACTTCAGGTTGACTCGGTCCTTAAAAGCATTCGAAATCTACAAGTCCAGTCTGATGATGGATTGGTTAGTACTGGAGATTCAAAGAAGAAGTTTAAGTCTGGAAAAAGGCCCGAGATGCAGCGATATGTTCCAAAGGGGAAGCTGATGGAGCAACATCAAAAAGACTCTGAGTCAGAGGAGGTTGAGGATTCTTCAAGAATTCCACCAGTGAATTCATTTGTGGTGGCCTCTCCACTTCTTGATGACAGCACTTCTTCACGTAAAATAGACTTAGGGAAATCTTCCCCTTTGGATGTAAAGATAACATTTGCAAATCCGACTTCTTCACCTCAAGGATCAAAATCAGATGATGTCCCAACCACATCTCAGAGAGCTGGGAGTGAGTCAAGGTTAATGAGAGGTCAAGGGGAATCTCAAACAACTGGAGGTCAAGCATGGAGATCAACTGGAGGTCCAGAAGAGGGTCAGATGCAAGATAGGAACAAAATTGACAACAATAATCAGAAATTTGTAAGAGATAAACGGCAAGGTCAGAGAGGACAGTTCATGGGTGACAGAGGAGGTAAGCATGGAGGAGGCTATGGAAGGGGACAGAATCGAGAGGAAGGATATGGCACTTGGCCACGGGAAAAGGGAAGTGGTAGAGGAAGCCCTCAAAAGGGGGACAGTCCACCTCAGACTGAAAATTGGGATGTAGAATTAAGGATTGTGGAAAAGGGTGATATTGAGGAGAAAGATGACAAACAGAATCAGAATAATGGAACCTCTCAAGTTAGCTCGAATGTTGTTACTGGGACAGAACCTCCAAAACCTCAACGGATCAGTCAGCGACGTTCACGTGATCGACCAGTAAAGCAGACTACTGTGTCCATCGTTGACGCTCCGGACGAACCAGAAGATGCCAGTGGTAGTCACATACCAACCATGATTTTTGAGAGACGGAACAGTAATTCATCATTAACAGGCAGCATACAGGGTGGCAACGGAAACCTGAAACAAAAACCTCCCAAAGGTCAGATTTCGGCCAAGGGACCACCAAAAAGGTACTCGCTTTCAACTATGCGACGACAGAGGACTGGCAGTGTCAGCAGTGATGTGAGTACTGCAAGTGATTTGAGCATTGACGATGAAACAACAACAAGGATCCTTGATTGGGATAAGGAAGTAGAAAGAGAGATGGCAAAACAAGTCCAGGATGAAACACTGAAGTTGAAGGAATATCTGGAGAGACAGGGTGATTTCCCTGGGATGGACTTTGGAATGGGTGTAAGTAGCACTGATCAGAAACAATCGGACAGAATGTCAGAAACAGGTAGTGAGTATGGAATGTACCGTGACAAAGCAAGTGAGAGACAATATAGACCCTCACGAGCTAAAGACAATCAATACAACGAGAACATTAATCGCAACTCAGGTTCCCGTGATAGACATGGTGGCAGTGAACATTGGTACAATGAATTGCCTAGGAGTAGGCGAAAAAATAGACGCAGTTCCCTGAATGGTCGACAGAGTCGTGACTCCAGTGTGTCCAGTGTTCAGAGTGTCCAGAGTGTCCAGAGTTACCAAGGAGATGAGGGGGAGAAGATGTACCACAGTCTGAGTCTTCCACGGAAAGGTAGGCGTCGTAGAAGGAGCAGCAATTCCAGTCTAAAGGATATTAGTTCTAGCCGTGAGGCTCTTAACAACCCAGAAAACCTCAAACTCAAAATAACATTTGCTCAAGATCACAACGAGAAACGTCAAGTCACAATGCAAGGACCCGGTCAAGGTCACCAGCAAGGTCATGGCCAAAGTCACCAGCAAGGTCATGGCCAAGGACACCAGCAAGGTCATGGTCATGGTCACAAACAAGGTCATGCCCAAGGACACCAGCAAGGTCATGATCAAGGTCAACACCAAGGTCAGGTTCATCAACAAGGACAAAAAGGGCAGGGGCCAGCACCACGAGGCAGAGGGCGGGGCAGAGCCCGGAGTGCTGAGAGGAGTAGGGATAAACAGGGATCAGGGGGTCGTTCTGAGGATTACAGAGATCAATCAGGGCAGGGAAAAGATCACAATGATAGAGGGGGCACTGGGAGAGGGCAGGATCGCAGAAGTGTAGGCAGAGGACAGGACATGAGGGGCAATCAAGGATGGGGACAAGATGCAAAGGTTGGAAGCAGAGACAACAGAGGAAATGGCCATGAAACGAGGGGTCAAAGCCATGATGCCAGAGGTTATAAACAGGACATTAGGAGCCATGGTGAAGATTCTAGAAGTCAAAGTCATGATACAAAAAGTCAACGACAAGATATTAGGGGTCCAGGTCATGATGCCAGAGGTCATGGCAAAGATGTGAGAGGTCATGGCAAGGATCAACATCATAGATATGACCGAAGAGAACGTCGACACTCAGGGCGTGACGAACCTATGCATGAGGCTGGTACCTCACCCCGCGGTGGACTTCTTAAGCTTCCATCTGGTGCTCTTCATAATGAGGCTCATAATTATCAGGATGAAAGTCAAGGTCACAGCAGAAAAAATGTTGGTCCTCAAGCTCATACAGGCTCCTCAGGAAACTCTACTAGAGGTGGGGCAGGACAGAGGAGACTCTTTGACCCTAACAATCCGAACAAGCCTATCATGATACAGGATGGTAACAAATCCCAAAACTTTCAGCAGGACAGCAATAGTAAACCGCTTCAGTTCCAGGATGTTGGTCAAGATAACCCTACCTCACCTACCTCGCCCCTTGGGCAACCTCCCTTTCATCAGGGCTACCCACCCACAGGTCTGGCTGCACCCTACTTTCAAAATTATGATCCTAGGTTTGTGGATGCTGGCCATGCCTTTCCGCAGCGACATCCCGGTCCTCATTCGGTACCCCTTTCAGGACATCCTGGGCCACCTGGGGGCTACTACTTTCCCTACCCAGTGCCGTATAGAGACATGGCTATGTACCCAGAGGAGATGTACCACAGGGATCCATACTACCAGGGGTAAGTCTGTGTATAGGGAATGAGTGTCAGTTTTTGTAGACCCTTAAAATCCAGAAGATAAGCAACTTATCTGTGATCATGCATATGTGATATGGCTTTTCAGATCATATTTTACTTTGTCACTCAGTGAACATGTTTTGGAAATATAATGTTATGTTTGGACTTTTTAATTTATTTAGAAATTTAATTTGGTCACGGTAACCGAAAATATTTGTTAAACTAAATGAACCATATCATTGTTGCAGTTATTTTCAAATATTTGAGAAAAAATGGGACTTGTGATTTTCAAGACTGTTGATGATATTTTGTTTCTTTGTTAGATAATCATGCAGTGACTTCTGTGTGGAACAATACAGATTCATTTTATTATGAAAATAACACTGCATGCAGTTTTATTCTTGGTATTTATGTACATCTATAAAGTGTATGTTCTGTCCTCAGAGGAGAGTATGACCAGGATATTGCCATTTCCGGCCGGTCTCGCACACAGTGTCGTGCTATAGCAGAGCGAATGATTCAAGAGTCTCTCCCATTAGACAGTCAGCTGAGTGACTTGGTGGCTAGGCGACTATCTGGCAAGGATTTCACTGCCCTTGCCCAGATCAGGTAAGAATAATATAATATAATAATAATATACAACATTTGCCCCATATAATATACAACATTTGATATAGCGCCCTATCTAGCTAAAATAAAATGTCGCTTTACAGTACATATATATTCAATTAATACAATTAGCATATAAATTAATTAATTATATTTTGAGGAATTCGCAGGAGCTGCCTTATCAGGCGCTAACTACTAGTCCTATGCCACCTGGCTAATATCTCCCTATGTGTGTATGCCTGCGTGTGTGCTGGAGATGTATTGTGTTCTGTTTGTAGAAAAGAACGGATAAGTATGTTAAACAAAGATTTTGCCAAAGAATGTTGTCACCAAGAATTGATTCAGTTGACTTCTAGTCGTTGTTTGTCATAGTAATCAAATATTATATTCCAATGAATGTCTAAGGCATACTATATACTATATTCTGATTGTAAAAAAAAAAAAAAAGACTTTTTACCCATCTACATGTATACATTTTCAATTTGAAGTTTTACAGTTTATTTTCGTTTTTTAACAAAAAGAAAATATTTCTTGATCATGCCTTGATCATTTGAGTTGATATCAGTCTTGATTCCAGTTACTATAACCTGTTCCATTTGTGTGTTTAGACAAGAACTGCAGTGTAAGTGTGAACAGGTAATACTCCTCGACCTCGACGTGGCCAACAAACACAACGCCGAGCAGATCCTGTGGAAATCTGTGTACTACCAGGTCATAGAGGTGTTCAGGAAAAATCTGGCGGAGGAAAAGGACGAGGAAACCAAGGCCCAACTCACTCATATACTCAATCAGGTTCGTAACTGAATCTCTGCTCACACCCATTATTAGTCTGACATGTAATTGAATCTCTGCTCACACCCATTATCAGTCTGACATGTAACTGAATTAATGCTTACTTACATAATCAGCCAGGTTTTTATCAAAATTTCATCTTACTCACATAATCAGTTTTTAACCAAATCTCAACTTGCTCACATGATCGATAAGTTTTGTAATTAAATTAAGTTAAATTATTAAATTACTTGATAGAAAATACCTAACTTGCTAAAAAAACTATATATGCTTTATATTTTTCTAAAGACATGATACATTTTGTATAGTGCAAAGTAAAATCACATGTTTCATAACTAATTAATACTTGTCTTCCATTATGTTTTCAGGGAACTGAGTTTTACGAGCGCCTACTTCAGAAACTCCAGCAGACTTTTAACTTCCAGCTTGAGGTTTTCTTGGACACAACTGTCTTGCCCCCAGACAACATCTCTCGTACAGTTAAACTTGCTCTGTTAAGCACCCAAAGGACCCTGATTTGTCTTGGTGACATTGCACGTTATAGAGAGCAGAGCAATGATACAGGAAAGGTCAACTATGGAAGAGCAAGAAAGTAAGGATCATTAATTATGGATAATGACCTCGGACAGCTAGTCTCTATGTTCTCCAGCAAAAGGGTGCCAATAAATCTCATGATACATGATTCAACATAGTCATATTGGTTAAGTTCAGACATATTTCTATCGCAAATAATCAGTAAAGCTGAAATTATATGCAATCATTCCAATTTCCTTTTAAATTGTCTTTAAAATTTCCTCATATAAAAGACCTTGACCTACTTTCTAGGTCACAGAAATGAAGCATTTTAAAAAATTCATATAATAAGTTCTTAAGAACTGTAGGTTCTTGAAAAATGCTATTTGGTTATTTGGTATGATATGAAGACCAGCAGTACAAATCTTTTTTCTGATATATTGTGTTTAGGTCAAAGGTCAATTTTGATTTTTTTTTTCTCATGCCTTAGGTCATCACTTAATACTGTAGTCAAATAGTCAAGATAACCATCACAAAATCATCCAATATATATAAACTTGCTGGTGATGATAAAAACACAAGCATGCTACCAGGATTAGCTCCATTATCTGGCCCCACCCCTTTGGACTTATTTTCAGTTCATTACATGGATAGCATTGAGATCCTAACCCTATAACCATATACACATGCATATAGATCTCAACCTGCAAAGAGCCCGGATTTGGGAAATATTTACAATACTTCTTTTATTGACAATATTTTGTCATGAGCCTTAAACATTTTTTGTCATGAGCCTTAAACATTTTGGTGTGTGATATGGGTCTTCTGTGCCTGTTTTAACATATTTTCAGAAAAGTTTTTTTTTCTGCCACTCTTATTTTGGTAGGAGAAAATCAAGTTAACTTGTGTAAGAGAAGGGGCTAGAACAGGAACTGATATTAACAATTATGTGTTTGAATATTACAGTTGGTACTCCAAGGCACAGCAAATAGCCCCTAAAAATGGCCGCCCCTACAACCAACTGGCTATCCTGGCTCTCTACACGGTAAGTGTCCGCTGTACCTAAATTGTGTAGTATGTACTCCTGCCCACACAACTCTTAACAACCCAGGTGGAGTATAAATTGGTCTGGGGTGGATGCTGCGGTATCTTTGCTGTAGCATTCAAGTGAGGTGGCACTATAAATGATACCGTTGGAAGCACGGTCCCACTACAAACAGAACACAATACATCTCCAGCAAACACCTAGGCATACACACACACAGATATTAGCCAGGTGACATAGGACTAGTAGTTAGCGCCTGATAAAGCAGCTCCCGCGAATTCCTCAAAAATTGTATTGATTAATTAATGTATATGCTAATTGTATTGATTGTATAAATTGTATATCTATGTACTGTAAAGTGCTTTAGAGTGGCTTAGGTTAGCTAGATAGGGCTCTTTATCAAATGTTGTATATTATTATTATCTGCCTGTGTGTCTGTCTGATGGGTATATCATGGTATGTTTTCAGTATTCTTGTACTGTTATATATCCTAAAACCATTGTAATGCCAGAATATTTGTCTGGACTTGATGATATGAAAATAAGACATTTGATGAAAGTCTCATTAACCAGTTTTCCTAAACATAATTAATGGCAGAAAATTTTGGGAAAAACAGTGCGTGTAGGAACTGAACATTTGTGTTATGAGAATCAGAGGATGGATTGATATTGGAACACTCGAGGGATACATTTTAAATTTATACATTATATACAAAGGTGACTGTTAATACATTACAATCTTTTAAACAGAATACTACTGACACCAAATTTAAACAGATTTTTGAATTACTTGGGTTAAATTTCCATAGAAATGTATTATATTTTATATAGATGACAGTACACTTTATACAGGTTTCTGTATTATACAGGGTTTGGTGAAGACAGGTTACAGTATAGTTAAAATATCTCATAATTAATCTTCCCACAAAGATTAAAAGGAAAAAATCTGGAGTAAATATATATATGAAATTAAACATATACATGTTTACAGCACCAAGTTATTTAATTTATGATATACTCATTATAATATATATATATATATGCAGTGTACACTATTACATGTATAGACGTTTTCAATATAAGTAACATAAATGTTTGTTTGATCACCAACTGTGCTGTAACAAGGAACAATACTATGACATATTGTGTAAAGACAGATCTTGTAATGGTTTATTTTGATTTTCTGGTTGAAATATTGAAGAGTTATGTTTAATTTTACATGCTTTGGTTGAGCATACCCGATATAATAAAAGAGTCTTTGCCTGGTAAATAATGTCTCTGGTTTAGTGGTATCCCCTCTGTATAAACCAAGTGATTCCATGTCAATTAAATGTGGTTTTCTGATGTTTAACATTTGTCCACCCTGACAGAGGAGGAAGCTGGACGCAGTATACTACTATATGAGAAGTTTGGCAGCCAGTAATCCATTTCTGACAGCTCGGGAAAGTCTCATATCATTGTTTGATGAAGCAAGAAAGAAGGTAGGTGCAGGGCAGTATTGTACATTATACAAAATACAGTTCACTTGTTGACTTTCATATTGTATATGATCTGTGACACCCAACATTTACTGACTGTAGTCTATTTCAAACAGTTTTCAAATTGTATGGAAATGGTTGGAGGAAGTATGTAGAAGTTTGATGACCCAACTACCAACTCATTTCTCAATATCCGCACCTAAGCTGTGAGTTGTTATTGAACAGGCCCAGAACTCGGAGAAGAAGCGTGAACAGGAGAAGGAAAAGTCCCTACAGCTGAAGCAGCAGAAGAGACAGCAAGGGGAGAGAATTGAGGTATGGGTGTCCGCAGACGGCACAAGTACCGAGGACACCGGCGAGGGGAGTACTGACCAGGACTTGTCCAAATTGGATGCTGTGGAGGTAAAGGTTAAACTGTAAACAGATAAATAGTGGAACTTTAAAATTGGATATGGAATGTCTGTGCAGAAGATTAGTGTTATTCCAGGCTGAGATTGTGTGGGAAATTCAGGATATTCAATTTTAAGAAGTATTTTTCTTTCATTAGATAAAACTGATCAATTATTTATGCATTCTGATCAAAAGGCTCTAGGTAAGAAAAATGTTACACATTTATGTTTTGGGATTAGTTTGTGTTTTTGAAGACCTGAGCTAGTGATCCTTCAGGCCCATGAGCCAATTAAGTCCTTCTCCAGTAAAAAAATATATCACTTGGAAAATGTGTTTTTCATTTATCAGAAATTCATATTATTTTGTCCTTGGATCTCCAAAGCAAATTGCTGCAAAATATATTTTTTTTAAAGTAAACATGCAATTCTAAATTTCAAATTGACAATTGGATTAACATTAATGTAAGATTGCACTGTATGAATATCTGTGATTGCAATGTAGATTTGTGATGCTTTTATACACTTTATTTGTTTTTATTTGCAGCTGAATAAAAGATTTGTTCTCAGTTTTCTCAATGTTCATGGAAAGCTCTTCACAAAAGTTGGGTAAGATAATTTCCTCATTAAGTTTTATTGACAAAAATAAAAAATAATATTCAGCTTGACACTTTATGGTACACATTGAAGTCCTGCAGAGGTCAGTTGAGGCAAAAAAACTAAAAAGGATTGCCTTCAATATTAAATAGTGCTGTCTTTGATGTTATTAAAAGTGTAATACGGTAATCAGAAAGTAGTAAGAGAATGCATGCATTTTCTTGATATCAAACCAGCATCTCAAACTCGCAAGCTGAACTCTCTTCTGTTGAGCTAAAGGAAAGTTCCTTATAGCGGAATCTAGTAAGGACTACCAAAATAAGCAAAAGATGTATATTTTTGTCTTAGCCTTAATCCTTATGACATATTCAATGTGAAGAAATTTACATGTAGCTGTAAACTTGGAAGTTAAAAATCATAATTTTCTTAACAAAAATCCCCAAAAGATTTCATAGAAGAAGTAAAATACAATTTATGACAATATGATGGATACAATTTTGAAATGTTCAATGCTAGGAGAGAAACGTTCCCAGAGTGCTGTGCCCAGATGCTGAAGGAATTTGATGCATTGCTTAGGCGAGGGGCAATAGGCCCAACACGACTGCTTCAACTCATGGCTATCAACATGTTCGCCATTGACAACACAGCCCTGAAAACTACATGTAAGTCGGCTGTTAAATTTACCTTATTGATAGTTAATTGGATTCACTATTTTTATGGATTGTAAAGTAGAACTGGCCTGTGTTGATCACCATTGATTCAATAGATCATCTGGTAGAAATTTGTTCTATAGTTTGGTGGGCTCTCAGTCTCGGATCAAACTCTGGTCTGCCCAGTTGAAAGAGATGAAATTTGATAACTATTTGATTTTGTGAAACCATTAAACATGCAAAGTCAATAGGTAAAGGCCATATGACTAGAGTAGACTTTGAAAGTAAAGTAATTTAGGAATTAGTTTATACATGTTGATGTACCATAAACATATTGCGAAACATTTAGCAATACAGGCCCTCTAGAACTTTTGTTGAATAACTTAATAAATGTTTGAGATATACTGTAAACATACTCAGACACATTGATACAGGCCCTCTAAGCCTCCTTTTTGAATAGCTTAATGCATACTTTTACTCCCGACACATATTTCCTTTTCTGTTTTCTTGTTGCTGTTTTCTTTGTGACACACCTTGCCTTTACTCATTTCTGTGTACCTGTATGCACTTTTCTGTTGATTGGCACTTAAGACTACATACAATTTCTGTTGCCATAGTGTCACCCTCTGACCCCAACTTTGAACTTTTGAGATCGGAACTCCAAGAACAGGCAGTACAGCTTGGCTTAGACATGTTTGGAATCTTGGTGCGGCGATGTTCAGAACAGCTGAAGGAACACCTGGTCTCCAATGACTATCCCACCCACATGTTCAGCCGTGAGCTAGAGGAACAGGTGCCTGGCATCAAAGTGTGGACCGACTGGATGTACTGTAACCCAACCCTATGGAATCCACCTCCGAACATACACGAGTTTACTTTCGGGTAAGTATATATTTCTCTACCATCCACCTCCAAACATACACAAGTTTACTCTCGGGTAAGTATATATTTCTCTACCTCACCTCTGAGGCTGAACGGTTAGTAATATTGGGTAAACTTATCATAGCATCCACCTATGGGTAAACACTAGGAGCATTTTCATTTGTTGACCAACCACACCTTTAAATAAGATTAGACAGGACAGAAACACCAAATAAATAGTAATGTGTTGCAACGTCGTATTGATCTACTTATTATTGTGACTTCATGATTCTCTGGAAAACTAGAGTTTGTTGTGTATAGGAGTTTTGGACATTAAATGTTATGGGAAAACTTTCTGAATCATGATGATTGGATTATATCAATCTTATGTTTAAAACAATATAGATCACTACCAGTTCATCAAAAGATTAGGTAACAAAACATGTATCTGAAGTAGAAAAGTAAGATCAAACCAGACACAATTTTGACCGCGTTGATGTCGTCTCACTTTTTTGTTAGAGCTTCATGTTATGTATAGATAATATTGGTTTTTAGGCCGGATGTTGACGTGTGGCAGTCATGTGCGGACCTGTGTAACATACTGAGGAATGTAGACACATCTCATGTCAAACTCTACAGAGACAAAAAAGAAGGTAAGCAGGGAATTCATGGGATACATCACCCTCTATATTACAGGGTTTTCACTGCAGGAATAGTAACAATATGTTCCAAAAATCATTTCATATTTTCAACAAAATTGATACTGCATTGTATGTATTGATGTGATCATTCCAAATCTTAAAAATATCTAAATGTTTTCCAGATTAATAAAACATAGTACCCTTGAAAACAGGAACAAATATAAATATACAAGACTGTTACTATTATAAAGCTATAACATATATTATCTGTTTTAAACCAACGCAGGAGATAAAATACATGCTTAAATTATTACTGAATTTGATGCAATACTTTGTATTCCGTCTTTTCGTATTGCAGAGTTATCTGCTCTTGATAGAAGATATTGATTGTTACGTCATTTGTTTGTGAGAGTAATGTCACCATTTTTTGAGAAAACAACGTAATTTTCTCACACAAACTAATGACGTAACAATCAATACCTGCACACAAGAGCAGATAACTCTGCAATACGAAAAGACGGAATAGGGAGAGGCTACTGTTTACTTGCCCAAATGTAATAATGTTTGCCATAGTTTAACTTATGCTCCTTGTCCTATCTGTACTAAGTGTGAATTCCTAATTATGAGGATACATTTAGTACATAGCTTTCTGTGTATTCACACTGTTCTTGGAAGGTATACGTCCAATCATCAATCTTTATGATCTTTATATGAAATAGGTGAATTAACTGTTTTTAAGAAATCAAGAAAAGAAGCATAAGTGAAATCAATTTATGTAAAAATTCAATTTTCTATTTGCTGTAATGGTAGTTCATTTTCAAAAGTCCTATTATCTAAAAAAATTCCTTTATTTGTTTAGATTTGAATATAATGAAAACACAACTTCACTGGGGAAAAATCCCAGAAATTACTATCCAATCCCCCTAGTTTGGTTAAAAGTTCCCTTTTGTAACTTTGTTCTGAAGTAACTTTTCTTAAGTGATATATAGAACATTAGAAAGAGAAGTGAAAGTGTAGTACAAATGTACATAATCCAATGTTTTCTTTTCCTCCAGGCTGTGATCCAGTTATCTTACATGAAGATAACATGCTGGCTGGATTTGTGCCCCTGCTTAGCTTACCAATAAAACTTCACTACGTACATAGTACAGTCACTAAGGTAATGCCACTCATAGGCCAAAATGCTAGTTTCTCTGTCTCCAATCCTGATTTCACCATCTGAACAAATTATCAAATCCCTTTAATCTAATTAAATCCAGTTAAACTTTGTTTATTTCTCTCTGTATTCTGAGCAATCTAATCAAAGCCAGTCAGTTAAACTGTGTTTATTTCTCTCTGTATATTCTGAGCAATCTAATTAAAGCCAGTTAAACTGTTTATTTTTTTCTTTATATTTTGAGCAATCTGATTAAAGCCAGTTAAACTGTGTTTATTTCTCTCTGTATATTCTGAGCAGTCTAATTAAAGCCAGTTAAAATGTGTTTATTTCTCTCTTATCTAATTAAAGCCGGTTAAACTGTGTTTATTTCTCTCCGTATTATGAGCAGGAAATAGCCAAGGACTGCTGTAGGATAGAAAAACTTCAGGACTTTGGGGATTACCTCTGTGGCATTCCTACTCCAATGTTGTCCTTCGATGTGGAGAAAAAGCAGTACTATTCTGTAGCGCCACCTACTGGATTCTCAGATGAGGAGAAAGAGGATGACAAGTCTGAGGGCCAACTGTCTGGTGTAAGTCTATCGTAAACTCAAAATTTAAAAGCTAATTTGTAATTTAAATATAATCTTAGTGATCGCTAGGTTAGGTTATTGCATCTTTCTACATAAAGTTGCCATAAAATTTAGTTTCTGCCATTAAGCTCACCTGACCAGTGAGAATTGGTTTAGTACAGGGTCTCTGTTTTTTTTAAACAATAACCTGAGAACTGAAAGATCCAGGGTCCTGATATTGAGCAAGCAGGTACCTGGTATGGAGTACTAAAATATCTCCAGATATAAATGACCTGGACTGACTGCAAACTCACTGTCTAAATATGTCAAAAACACTTAACAGAATATTTCCTAAAGAGGCATTATGTCTTGAGTGCTGATGGACACTGCCTTATTCTGACTTGCAGCATCACAAACAATTCCTGTGTAAATTTTCAGAACAAATAATTTCTGGTCGCAACATTTCATATTGATCAACACTAAATTAATTAAAATGTTACAAACATGTACCAGGTATTTGCTTTGTCTGATCAGGAGGAAGAGGATGTGATCGTGGAGAGCGAGTCAGAGGAAGTTACAGGAGAGGATGACGAACATGTGCGACATCTACGAGAGAAAAAGGAGGAGTTGAAGCGCATCAAGGAAGAACAGCGGAAGCAGAAGGAGACATTCCAGAAGATCGTGGATAAGAACCGGCACCATTTGATACAACTGGAGATTCACCCCATCTTCTTGGTCCCCGACACCAACTGTTTCATAGATCATCTCAGCAGTGTAAAGAAACTCATACAGCACCAGAAATATACTGTCACCATCCCACTGATAGGTAGGTAAACCTATTGATATACTGTCACCATCCCACTGATAGGTAGGTAAACCAATTGATATACTGTCACCATCCCCCCACTGATAGGTAGGTATACTGTCACCATCCCACTGATAGGTAGGTAAACCTATTGATACACTGTCACCATCCCACTGATAGGTAGGTAAACCTATTGATATACTGTCACCATCCCACTGATTGGTAAGTAAACCTATTGATATACTGTCACCATCCCACTGATAGGTAGGTAAACCAATTGATAAATCTTCAAAATGTTGTTGATTATATACTAGATAATGGAGAAAGGAGTTTCTAAAGTTTCCACAATCAATCCTTTTTATATCTTGTAGTTAATTACAGTAAGGGAAGATTTAGCAATGACTTACATATGCATGTGTCATTTTTGTATCGCCTGTAACTTTGTCTATGAAGGCGAGTCATAGATTCTGATTTTCCAGAGGAGGTGACGGTGGCATCGTCAAACGTTAAAGTTTTGGGTTTAGCTCTGGTTCTCAACAACTACAGGCAGTACAGGCACCAAACTTAGTACATAGTTAGGTCATGAGGTGTACATCCCAAGTAAGGACAGAAAAAGGTTAAAGGCAATGGTCTTGTTTTATAATATGAATATTGTGGGGTAAAAATAAATTTTGTTACAACTTTAGAAGTAGACATATGTTAAGTTTTTGAACCAACTAGATCTCCCCCAAACTTGCATTATACCTACTTATCTCATCCTGAATGCTAAGTTTCTGTGTTTTACTCTAATTATTTAAATTAATAACTGTTGATGCGGAGACAAGCGAGACATCTAGTTTTATGGAATTCTTGTGTTTTATGTTTTCAGTGATAAATGAATTAGACGGTCTGGCCAAGGGTAGTAGGATGGGGCAGTATGACAGCCATGAGCACGCTGACAAGGTGAAGAAAAGTGCGGAGGAGACCATCAGATACCTGGAGGCAGAGTTCCAGAAGAAAAACAACCATCTCCGAGCACAGACCACAAAAGGAAATGTCATGGAAACTATTTCATTCCGCAGTGAGGAAACTGACACAGATTCTGTAAGAACAAAATATGATATTTTACTTGCAAAAATGTGCATGTGAACGATAAGAATTGACATATTCTCCAGAGAAATGAAGGTATAAGATCTGACATCAGAGATAGGGAAAAAAAATTGAACTAACATAATCCCTTGAGAATTCTAAAAGTCGAAACCACCATACTTCCTAGAGAAATCTAGAAATCAAAACCATTTTGACTTCAAAATAAATGGATACTAGGGGTAGGCATTAATAGTATGTTTGGATTCATGTTAAGTTTTGTACTGTTAATGTTATGTTGTCAGTCATAAAGAATCCATCAATTAATCAATCATCATTCAATCAATCAATCAATCAATCAGACATCAATCAATCAATCAGACATCAATCAATCAATCAATCAGACATCAATCAATCAATCAATCAATCAGACATCAATCAATCAATCAGACATCAATCAATCAATCAATCAGACATCAATCAATCAATCAATCAATCAGACATCAATCAATCAATCAGACATCAATCAATCAATCAATCAGACATCAATCAATCAATCAATCAATCAGACATCAATCAATCAATCAGACATCAATCAATCAATCAATCAGACATCAATCAATCAATCATACATCAATCAATCAATCAATCAGACATCAATCAATCAGTTATCAATCAATCAATCAGACATCAATCAGTCATCAATCATCAATCAATCAATCACAAATAAATCAATCACAAATCAATTAATCACAAATCAATCAGTCATCAATCAATCAGTCATCAATCAATCAATCAATTGCAAACAAATAATCAATCAATCAATCAGCCATCAATCAATCAATCAATCACAAACCAATCAATCAGTGATCAATGATTTACAGGGAAACAATGATGACCTTATTCTTTCCTGTTGTCTCCACTACTGTAAGGACAAGGCAAGAGATTTCATGACAAAGGATAAAGGTTTGTAAAACTATATATATTGGAATTTGTTTTTCCTTGCTTATATTTTAAAGTAAATTGAATTAGAATATCAAAGGTAATGATCCCAAAATTAAAATACACCACTCTCAAAAACAATTGAATCCCTACTTTTCAAAGAAAACTGGGGATATTAATTTGGGCCAAAGTCAAAGTTCTTGTAGAACTATAAATAGAAAAATCTTGCTATCCGTCTAGCACCTTCAATTGTGATGAGATTTTCCAGGACATTTGATACAAGGTTAAGTACAAAAGTGCTTTTATAAAGTATTTTACATGGTGGTGTCACCATCCCGGTATATGTGTTTGACAGACAGTTTTTGGTAATATGAAATGTTATTATAGGTGGAATTGTGTAGTTACACTTCTATATCTGTTGCAATGGTTTCCATTTGAGTCTTTTTGAAACTCTTTTCCAATTTGGACAAAAAGGATACTATATAATTCCTTCCTATTAGATAAATGCTGGTCCCCCAAGACATGTTATATAATAAATATACTATCTTTCTTCATTTATATTTCATTATCTGTATCCACTCTTGTTTGGACAGATGCACCGATCCGACTCTACAGGGATGTTGTGCTGCTAACAGATGACCGAAATCTACGTCTGAAGGCACACACCTACAATGTACCGGTCAAAGACGTCCCTTCATTCATGCAGTGGAGTAAGGTCACCTGATGCCTGAGGTCACCAATGTGATGTCACAGTTCATAGAGGTCAAGGCCATCAGATGTGGCCTGCTAGCTCCCTCCCTCAGTCTTTGATGGTGTGTGATGAAATGGAGTGGAATAATCAGTCAGGCGTGATGGGAGGATGAGTTATGCATGACCGAGTCACTTCCCCTTAATAGACTGAGAAGGTTGCAAGATCGTCTCGTCTAGGTTAGGGGGTACTGCATTTGCTATGTGTGTACTTACCCTCTGCAGTTAAAAAAGTGTGTTTGTTACTTAAGCATAGTCAACATTCATTCAAAATATGTCAGTATACCTTAGATTAAGGAAAGTATCATACAGCAAATTAATTCCAGTTTGATTTGTCCGAAGTAACGTAACGTTTCCCGGCTTATCAACTGACGTTTAAAATATGTATTTCTCTGCCATAAAGGCATCTGAGAAGCAGTATGCTGATGTGAGGCATATTGAGAGAGGCTTTATCCTCGGCTCTACTTTGGAATGTTGAAAAACAGGAAACTGACGGAGTGTGTTAATTATAGTATGGACCCCTGTCAGCATCAGACCAGGATGTTTGACATTCTGATCACGTATATAGCTGTGAAGTTTTGCATCAGATTGCGTTAGTTAACCTGTGTTTTTAGTATTATATTGGACTGACATGGACAGTGAGGTAATTTATTATTTATTCTTGTGTATTTGACTTTTATCTTGATACATTGATTTGTTATGTCTTCAGTGACAATGTTAAGGTGGTGGAAAGGCAATGGAAAGAGTATCTCTTAGTAAACTATCTTACTAACAAGGCAGGAATGGAACGTCATTCTGTTGGATGATACATCGGCATACCTAAATGGAAACTGGAAATATGGCGTTTGATGAGAGGACTTACCAGCTTGGAATGATTTTATAAGGAAGGGAATATGCAAGTCAAGAACTATTGCATACAAACAGGAACAGATCTGTGGAGGAAGGAGCAGGAAAGGATTGGTGATATTTTAAAATGAGTAAAACACTTTGATGGCTTCTGCATAGGAGCTACCAATCTCGGAAATTCACTGGAATTGTTCTGAAGTTTCAGGGCCACCAACCTCATGAAGTTGACTGGAATTATTGAAATATAGGTGAATAAAAGTTGAACTGTCAATTTCAGAAACTTCACCCACAAAGGGTGGGGATATTTGGGGCTACCAACCTCAGAAAGATGGCAGGAAATGTTCAGCGAATTGGAGCTATTAAACTCTGAAAGTTGTCTAGAGAAGATTGGAGACTTCGAGGTACAAACTTAATAAATTTGACTTTAAGTGTTAAATGAATTTAAACTGCTGATGTCAGAAAGTTGTCTGTAAAAGAATTGGCTTGTTAACCTCTGAAAACTGGCCGTAAAACAAATAGACTGAGATGGGGAATCTGGAAAACATTGTTATTTCAGTGGCTCCATCAAGCTTGTGGTGACATTTACATATATATATAGGAGGTGTGTGAATTAATGACCCAATCCCAGACGAGACCTAAGCTTAAGAGCTTCATATACAAATTCATAAACTTTTGTGTATCCTAAGTTATGAATACCTGATATACACTGTAAAACACTGTAAATGTTTTAATTACAGTCACATATTCATTGACTTCTAGAATCTCTAGCAATTGTTTGTTTGCTTGATTGATTCAATTGATTATTTTTGAGATACATCAATACAGAAATAAAAGAAAATCATAAATTTTAGGGTTCGAAATAAGAATCGAACCAATGCCATTCTAACATTACAGTAATTCTTATTGAGGAAATAACTAATTGTATGATTCTTTACCCTCTATAAACAAAGGAGAACACCAATTCAGTTGATACAAATAGCTTTGAAGTAGAAATCTTAATGATTATAACCGAAAGGGAATCTACATTGAAGTACAATAAGTCATAGTTCATTTAAATGTTTAAATCCAATTATGTTTTCTGTTGCTACCTCCATCTTTCTTCCTCATTTGACCCTTCTTTTAACTCCATATCCAACCAGAATTGATTTATATTTACCCCTTCCCCAATCTGATTTTTACCCACAGATTGTGATTTGGATCTGTGGGAATTATTGTAATTATTAGAATGTGAATATGTAAATGTATCCATGCTGTACAGGAATAATCAATTATATAATTTATATGTACATGGCGATGAGATGTAAAATGATTTAAAAAATGTATTTTGTGTAAAAAAAAATAATGTATGGACTGAAGGGTATGGGATTTCCTCATTAAAACAAGTTCGAACTTTAATACACTGTAGATATAGCTTAAATGTTTAAGATTTGGACTAGTCATCTTAGATTAGTATATAGAAATACAAAAATCTTTTATTTAGATGTGATATAAATACAAACATATATGTATGACGAAAATTGTTGTTACAACCTATTCATGAAATTTTATGTTTTTGGTTATTTTCATCAAATTGAAATGATTTTTGATTTATCCTAATGGCTATTCTGGTTATTGATAGATAAATATATACGTAGGGAAAAGGAGAGATTTCAATAAATTGTGTAAATATTTTTGGGGAGATTTAAAGAAATGATTCCTATAACTTGTAGTAAAGAGATAAAAGTAAACGGGAAATTATTTTTGGATGATAGGGGTCACAAAAAAGTGCCTCCTTGCCACACATTTATTCATATCTGGAATACAGCCCTACTTAACTTTATGTGTTACTTATATTGAATGAAGTGCTAAATATATAAAGAGAGAAATATATTGTTTTAATTAATTTGCTTTTAATATATATTATCATATGGTGATGAACCTGAAAGATTAAAAAAAACTAAAATTGATCACACATTTGTGATGAGGACAGAAATCACAATCTTAAGACTCCAGCACCAGGATTTTATGAGTTCTAAAAAACTGGCTTGAAATTCTTCTAACATTTATTTGTTTACCATACAATTTACATGATTTAAATTTGAATTTGACATATTTTTCGTAATTTCTCATTGAAAAAAGGAAGAATTGTTTGGATTTCTGTATATTAAAAATAATATTTTTTGAAAAAAGAAGTTTTCATTTTTTTAAGAGTCATATGGCATCTTTATCCGAGCATCAATTTTTCTCTTCTCTATCATACACGAGGCCAATTTCTTGTGCACAGTGTATGTCTATAATGCGAAAAAGGATCAGGCAATTGCACATACACCAAATAAGTCTCAAATCTTTGTCATGCTATTTAAAATGGTTGAAGCAAGCACAGAGATTTTGCTTATCAAGTCATTTTGATAAAAACAGCTTTTGTGAAAAGAAACTGATAATCAAATTTGGAACAGAAAATACCATCTTTAAATTGTATTTTTAGAAATGTTTGATAGGGGTCCACTATTTAGCACTGGGACTTTTTCTTGAAGGATTTTTGTGCTGGAATTATTTGTATTTAATATACATGACATGATAATACCTAGCCTATCACATGTTAAAACAAGGTATAATCAAATTTAGAACAGGTTCATGTACATGTTTTGTTTTAAAATGATACAGAATTTCTTCTTTTCAAAGAAAACAGTTGTTTTATTTTATGTCTTTTTTTTTAAGATGTTAGATACATAAGAAATATCATACAAAACCAACTTGTGTAAAGTAGAAGGTTTAAGTGTCTTATCGTAAACATCTTGAGAGTGTTGTGTACTACTATATACATCAGCTGTCATACTACTTCACCTGAAAGGTAACTAATGTCATTTACAAAGGCTTCTGAATGCTCAAGCCTCAATTTGTAAATGTTCACAGAATGTTGTATGTAACTGTAAGTAAACAGCTTAACATTGCTCCATGAATCAAAGCAACCATAAAAATATAGTCATAAGTTTGAACGATAGACCTGTTTTTGAATATAATCAAATGTATTGCAACAAATAGTTTGGTGGCCTTAGAAAAAATACATATCCAGAAAGGCAGCTCACTGCAGCATGTCTAATCTAACACTTTGTGGGAGATGCTACTCATTGGTCATATTAGGCAGAGTGTCAGAATACACAGGTCTTATTCCGTCTTTTGGTATTGCAGAATTATCTGCTCTTGTGAGCAGGTATTGATTGTTACATCACTTGTTTGTGAGAGTAATGTCATAAATTTTTGGGAAACGATGTAATTTTCTCACACAAACTAATAATGTAACAATCAATACCTGCTCAGAAGATCAGATAACTCTGCAATACGAAAGACGGAATAGGGTAGTTTTCATTAGAAATGAGATTACAGCGTCATGCTGGATTAGACAGGATGTCGGAATATTTGGGGTTGGATTAGACAGGTTTCACTACCTCAATATCAAAATAGAAATAATTAGTTACACTATAACTGTTTGAATAAAGTAAGTGAAGGAGCATCAACACCATGGTATCCACCTCTGATTCCTGTACCAGACAGACCATAGACCATTGCCCGTATAGTTGAATTAGTGCTGGGAAGTGGTTGTCATATGATAATTGAATACAGTTATTGTTTGGAGGGGGGGATACAAAATGTTAACTGTCCAATGATAGATAATAGTCAGACTTTTAGAAGGTTATTTTTTATCTTCCTTTAGTTTCAATGTGGTTTTTGCATACAATAAATTTAATCGTTTTTGTTGGAATTGTTTTTAAACGCTTTTCTGGGCTTTACCAAAGGTGAATATTGTGCTAAATTATGATAGCGCTAAGTTAAGTTTCCATATATTGTTAATTCTATTGCGTATGTTGTGGGTGCACCAATTCATCAAAGTGCTAAGTAGTTCAAATTTGTATGGGCTAAAACAAGTATGTTTACAGTATTATAAATTCACGTTTTAAATAAGTTTCATCTTTTTAATATTCTTAAGATTTAATGTATTCCTCTATGAATTACAATTTACCATTATATATATATATTAATTCAACCTGTTCTTGTGTTGCTGTTGGATTTAAATCAATAATAATTAACTCCTCTGGTGGCTTCATGTGCTATAGGCTGATGGTTTAAATATTTAATGTAGCTAACTTAGGTGTATGTTTGCCAGATTTGACTAGTTATAGACAGGTGGTATCTTGGCTAGATTTGACTAGTTATAGACAGTTGGTAACTTGGCTAGATTTGACTAGTTATAGACTGTTGGTATCTTGGCTAGATTTGACTAGTTATAGACAGTTGGTATATTGGCCAGGTTTGACAAGTTATAGACAGGTTGTATCTTGGCCAGATTTGACAAGTTATAGACAGGTGGTATCTTGGCTAGATTTGACTAGTTATAGACAGTTGGTATATTGGCCAGGTTTGACAAGTTATAGACAGGTGGTATCTTGGCTAGATTTGACTAGTTATAGACTGTTGGTATGTTTGCCAGATTTGACTAGTTATAGACAGGTGGTATCTTGGCTAGATTTGACTAGTTATAGACAGATGGTATATTGGCCATATTTGTCTAGTTATAGACAGTTGGTTTATTGGCCATATTCGACTAGTTATAGACAGTTGGTATATTGGCCAGGTTTGACTAGTTATAGACTGTTGGTATATTGGCCAGGTTTGACTAGTTATAGACAGTTGGTATATTGGCCAGGTTTGACTAGTTATAGACAGTTGGTATATTGGCCAGGTTTGACTAGTTATAGACAGTTGGTATATTGGCCAGGTTTGACTAGTTATAGACAGTTGGTATATTGGCCAGGTTTGACTAGTTATAGACAGTTGGTATATTGGCCAGGTTTGACTAGTTATAGACAGTTGGTATATTGGCCAGGTTTGACTAGTTATAGACAGTTGGTATATTGGCCAGGTTTGACTAGTTATAGACAGTTGGTATATTGGCCAG